GGGGAAATATAGCTGATAAAAAATTTCTATAAGTAGTGTCTAAGATTTTGATGCCTATGTTTCTGTCTAGGATTTTTGTGATTTTGATTGTAACATTTAAGTCCTTGTTTCAATTTGAATTCATTCTTGCGTGTGGTGTAAGAAGGTGATCTAGTTTCATTTTTCTCCTTGTATCTGTCCAATTTTCTCAACACCATTTAGTGAACATGCTGTCTTTTTCCCATTGTATATGCTTTCTTCTTCTGTGTAATATTAACTGACTATAAAGGAGTGGGTGTATTTCTAATGTCTCTATACTGTTCCATTGATCTATGGGTCTGTTTTTATGCCAGTACCATGTTGTTTTGAATATTATGACCTTATAGTATAGTTTGAATTTCATCCATGTTGTAATTGTTACAATTTGGAAGGTGAAGATTGTGTTTGAAGCAAGTTCTAGTCTCCAATGCTTGCCTGTCAACCTGTTTTACTTAACTTTGGAAAGAGACTAATGACATTGTGCCTCTGTGTGTGCATTTATTTTTTACTAGAACCTTATTATGAAACAGTCATTGAATAATTTGATCTGCTGGAGTCTGAGGAAAGCAAAACTTAATTTCAAAATTTACAAAGGTAAATTTATTACAGTAAAATGTAGGCATTTTAATGCAATTTGAGAGATGTATACAGCCATGTAATCACAGTTTATTTTTAAGGCTGCTACGCAGGTAGGGAGAGAGGGTGAGAATAAGGCACATAAAAACTCCCCAAAGCTCGCTCTTCCAAACAAGATTTGGACATTTTTACTTGAAGAAACACTCTTGGGATTTTTGCAACCCTTCGGTAATATCCAGAGTCCTGAAACGTTGACTTGACAACTTTTGTCAGTGTTCTTGTTACTGTTATGGGGAAGCAGGTTTGGGGGGAATCATTACTTTGCCATCCTGGAAGTTATCTTCATCTCGGTAGGAAGGTTTTGTTTTTGAGATTCATTTTAGTTGTATTGTTTGTCTTTTAAAAACATTTACTGCTGATTAGTATTCTGCTATAGGGGTATTTCACTATATTTATTTATTTATTTTTTTAAATTTTTTTTATTGATTATGCTGTTACAGTTGTTCTATTCCCCCTTTCATTCCCCTCCACCCTACCCCCATCCCCACCATTACCCCCCCCTTTAGTTTATGACCATGTGTCTCAAGTCCTTTAGATTCTATATTTCCCATGCTATTCTTGCCCCCCCTTCTATTTTCTATCTACTGTCTATGCTACTTATTTTCTGTACCTTCTCCCCCCTTCTCCTCCTACCACTCCCCTGTTGCTAACCCTCCTTGAGATCTTCATTTCTATGTTTCCACTCCTGATCTAGCTGTCCTTTTTAGTTTCCTTTCGTTTTAGGTATGGTTGTTAATAACTGTGAATTTGTTGTCCTTTCACTCTTCATGTTTTTTTTTAACTTCTTTTTCTTAGCTAAGTCCCTTTAACATTTCATATAATAAGGGCTTGGTGATGATGAACTCCTTGAATTTGATCTTATCTGAGAAGCACTTTATCTGCCCTTCCATTCTAAATGAAAGCTTTGCTGGATAGAGCAATCCTGGTTGTAGGTCTTTGGATTTCATGACTTGGAATACCTCTTTCCAGCCCCTTCTTGCCTGTAAGGTCTCTTTTGAGAAATCCACTGACAGTCTGATGGGGACTCCTTTGTAGGTGACTGTTCCCTTATCTCTTGCTGCTTCTAGGATTCTTTCCTTCATTTTAACCTTGGCTAATGTAATTATGATGTGCCTTGGTGTGTTCCTTCTTGGGTCCAAATTCTTTGGGACTCTCTGAGCTTCCTGGATTTCCTGGAAGTCTATTTCCTTTGCCAGATTGGGGAAATTCTCCTTTATTATTTGTTCAAATAAGTTTTCCACTGGTGGCTGTGCCTTTCCCCCTTCTGGTACCCCTATAATTTGGATGTTGGAGCGTTTAAAGATGTCCTGGAGGTTCCTAAGACTCTCCTCATTTCTTTGAATTCTTGCTTCTTGACTCTTTTCTGTTTGGCCATTATTTGCTTTCTTCTGGTCCACTCCATTGATTTGAGTCCCAGTTTCCTTTTCATTGCTTTTGGTGTCCTGTGCAATTCCATTCATTTCAATTAGTTTCGCCTTCATATATTTGTCTAACTTGTGGCTATAATCAACCAGTTCTGTGAGGATCCTGATCACCAGTGTTTTAAACTGTGCGTCTGAGACTTTTGCTATTTCTTCATTGCTTAGATCTATAGGTTCTGGAGCTTTGAGATCTTCTTGAGCCATTTTTGGTCTGTTTGCGCCCTTTAAGTGTGAGAAGCGGTGCCTTGGACTCCCAGGTCGCTGGGTTGTGACGCTGTATGTGGGAGAGTGGTCAGAGCGGGGAAATGGTGACCCCCTTTGCTGTTTCGTACAGCTGGGTGTGAAGCAGCGCCTTAGGTGGTTCACCTGGGCTGGGCCACTCAGAGTGGCTGGGTTATGACACTGTATGTGGAGGTGGGGTCAGAGCAGGGAAATGGCGGAGCCCTCCACTGCCACTTGCTGTGGGGACCCCCTGGGCCCCGGTCCAACCGCCCACTTCCTCGCCTGTCCACCCGCGCACAAATGCGCGACCACAGTCAACATGCAGCACCGCTCCCCTGCTGTCGCTGGCCTGGTTGCTCGCTAGGTCACTCACTAGGTCCAACCCTGCTCCTGGATTCCACGTGCGTGTGGATTCTGTGCACCTGAGTCCGTCTGACCGAGTCCTCCTGTGCAAGCCCGCTTCACTAGCCACTGGTTTCGCCCCTTACTGGTCAGGCTGAAGAATTTGTTGTTAACGGACTTCTGGAAAGTTCAATTTTCTGTGTTCTGGCTGTGATTTCTGTTGCTAATATTCAGTTGTCTCTAAACTTGGTTGTGTGAGAAGGCACGGCACATCCACCTATGCCTCCATCTTGGCGGAAGTCCTATTTCACTATATTTAAATGTGTGTATCTACCAATATACATTTGAGTTTCTTTGTGGGCCTGTGTTCTTTTCTTTTGGAGAAATACTTGATACTTACTGGGCCATCATTTTATAAACTTTTTATGAAAATTTGTAAGAAATAGCCAGTTTTCCAAAGCATTTAAATCATTTTATACTCCATCAGGTGATTTACTCTGAGAGTTTTAATTTCTTGGCCTTGTTATATTTTTATTACCTATTAAAAAATTCTTGCCATTGATGTGGGTTTTGAGTGGTATCCCATTGTGGTTACAATAGGCATTTCTTTGACAATTATGGATGGATGTTGAAATTCTCTTCAAATTTCGTGGCTGTTCATCTATCTTTTAAATAAATTGTTTAGTTCCTACCTAGACTTCTAAAAGTTGGGCTGATTAGTTTATTGTTCAGAACCTTCATATATTCTGAATAGAAGACCTTTGTCATAATTATTTAATGTGGACATTGTTTTTTAGTCTGTGGCTTGCCTAGTTCTTCTGCTCCTCATATCTCTCAACTACTGTACCTTCCTCCTCCTCACTTTTCTTAGATGACCTCATCTCACTTTATACAGAATCATTAAGCTTTCTGATGGGAATTCCCTGTTCTTTACTATAGTAAAACTGCGAAACTTATTTTCCCATATTCTTTTCTTCCATAGTATTAAAAGTGCTAGTTAAATTCTGTATATGTGCTAGAAGACCTATGCACAGTATCAGCAGTGTGTAGAGGTGTTAGGTATAGGTAAATGGCCTCAAAGGAGAATCTAGTTCCCAAAGCATAAAATTAAAAATTTTCTCTTGAGGGACAAAGGCTATTTTAATTGGTTTTCAAAATTATTTTTAAAATACCCTAGATAGTATTCTTAAGGAATACACTATAAATCTTCCTACTTTGTTTGTACAAAATATTGTAAGTCATCTGTTACAGGTAGGTCATTTTCTACATTTGTTCACAAAAATATGTTTTGTTATTTTGGGTGGAAATTAGTATCTCACTAATGTGGATAAAACGTACATCTGAAAACATCCTGCCTCCATTTCCTTCATAATACTTGCTTCTAAATGACATTATGTTGTACATCTTTGTCTCTGTGTTTAATTCTCTTACAATATATGCTCTGTGAAGATGAGGAATAGTTTTTGTGCTATCAACCCAAAACTTAGATCAGAAATATATCAAAAATTTTCAGTGTACATGAATAAATGAGTGGGTTAATTTACAAAACAGAGAGAACAATTCTTTATTCTGCAACTTCTTAGCCATTTATGAAGAGATACATTTCACTAACTCAATGTCCTCTACATAACATGAAATCAGCCAACTGGATTTTCAAATGAATATACTAGATTGAATATTTGTATCTGAAACTACAAGATATCAGAACTGGAGGGACCCTAGAAAATTAACTTCCATCATTTGTTCAGTTGAATGATGCTAAGATGCTGTTTTTCATCCTTGATTTTCATTCTTTTGGTTTTATGTTTTCAAGACATTTGAAAAATATCATATATGGAATTTTCCAAAAAGATTAGATATAAATGTAAGGATATATAAAAAATGCAATATTGTTACATTATACATATTAATATATAATGTAATTATATATACATATGCAGTCACATGCATATGAGAGAGAATGTATGTCTATATGATATGTTGAGAGGAAGAGACAGACAACATAGAAATACAGGGTAAATATATTTATATAGACACTCGTGTAGTTTTGTAGAGATTGTATTTATTTATTTTTCTTAGAGGGGGAAGGGAGGGAGAAAGAAAGGGAGGAAACATCAATGTGTGATTGCCTCTGGAGAGCCCCCTACTGGGGACCTGGCCTGCAACCCAGGCATGTGCTCTCTGTTTCTTATGCTGGCACTCAATCTGCTGAACCACACCAGCCAGGGTGACACTCATGTATTTTTTGAAAAGAGAAATTTCTCAATAATGACTAAATTAATAAGTAAATACGAGGTGGATGAAATAAATGTGGAATCTTTCATTTTTCTTTGTTACTTTTAGTTTTTAAAGGATAAGAAAATGTCTGTCCAAAACCACACTATGGTGGCAGAATTCATTCTCTTGGGACTCACGGACGACCCAGTACTAGAGAAGATCCTGTTCGGGGTGTTTCTGGTGATCTACCTAATCACTTTGACAGGGAATCTGTGCATGATCGTGCTGATCAAGACCAATGCCCACCTCCAAACACCCATGTATTTCTTCCTTAGCCACCTCTCCTTTGTAGACATTTGCTATTCTTCCAACATTACCCCAAGTATGCTGTACAATTTCCTCTCAGACCAGAAGACCATCTCCTATGCTGGGTGCTTCTTGCAGTGTCTTCTCTTCATTGCCCTGGTGATCACTGAGTTATACATCCTTGCCTCAATGGCCTTGGATCGCTATGTAGCCATCTGCAGCCCTTTACACTATAGTACCAGAATGTCCAAGGACACTTGTACCTCTCTAGTCATGGTATGTTATGTTTTTGGCTTCCTTAATGGACTCTCTCAGGCACTGCTGACCTTTCACTTGTCCTTCTGTGGCTCCCTTGAAATCAATCATTTCTACTGTGCAGATCCTCCTCTTATAATGCTGGCCTGCTCTGACACCCATGTCAAAACAATGGCAATGCTGGTAGTGGCTGGATTTACTCTCTCAAGCTCTCTCTTAGTCATTCTCCTATCCTACCTGTTCATTCTTGCAGCCATCTTGAGGATCCGTTCTGCTGAAGGTAGGCATAAAACGTTCTCTACCTGTGGTTCCCACCTGACAACAGTCACTATATTTTATGGGACCCTCTTTTGCATGTACGTAAAGACCCCATCTGAGAGGTCTGTACAGAAGTCCAAAATAATTGCAGTCTTTTATACTTTTTTGAGCCCAATGCTGAACCCATTGATCTATAGTCTAAGGAACAAGCATGTGATCCATGTCCTGCAGCAGATGATGAGAGGAAATCTCTTCCATAAAAATGCAGTTTAGTGGTCTGTTCATTGTAATGAGTAAGTGTCTGTGGTGAGACAGGGACTCTCTTCAAAGGACAAACCTACTGCTCTACAGTCATTGTTTATTTGTTGTCATGAACTCTCAATGACACTTGCTAATTTCTTATCAAAATTTGTAACTTTAAGGAAATTGTTCTCATAAAACTAATATTGAAGTTGGAAATGTTTTATTTAGGAGAGAACTTTTGGTAATAAATGGGCAATATTCAATAATTCCATCCAATACTTTACTATCTTAACTTACTTGGCGGTAAATATTGTAATTCACTCTGATGTGAACATTGGAAACCCATTTGCTCTGAATTATATAGTCTTCAAAGCCATGATGAGTGATAAATAAGGTGATTAGTTTTACACTTGTATTTGAAAAATTATGGATAATTTGTTCTTCAATATGTGGTGCACAATGATGGCTCTGGTGCTCGAAATCATGGTGAAGAAATTTGAAATACATGGATCACCCAGAGGTTTAAACTTTCTGTATACATTCCCCTAACCACACATTTTATACACATGCTAAGAAACATTTTTTTCATTTTAAAATACTATTTATGTAAGTAAAGTGCAATGCCAATATAGATATAGTTTGTACACAGTAGTTCTGACTTATGTCTAATTTATTATGAGTTATTAGTGTCTATCAACTGGCTTCTGCAGACCCCAAGAAAACCTTGAGAGCATATACAGATGAATATGTGTATAGAATTCCTTCTGGAAGTGAACGACCAATGTTTACTTTGGTGCATAAAACTGTCTGTGACTAACTATTTTCTAGATTAGTCTGTAACAGTTTTCAAAGTTTCTATTGAGAAAAATTGATATTAAGAAAAGCTACATAAAGAGATAAATCATTCACATGAATCCATGCATTGTTAGTCAATGACATGGCTACCTACTGAAAGTTATGTTAAACTTTTGTGAAATTGCCTTAAATGCTTGGTTTTCTAAGATTGTGGATTTTTATTTTATTTTATGTATTTATTTAAAAATATTTTTATTTATTTTTAGAGAGAGGGGAAGGGAGGGAGACAGTGAGGCAGAGAAACATCAATTTATGGTTGCCTTTTATGCACCCCCTACTTGGGGACATGGCCTGCAGCCCAGGCATGGGCCCTGAATGGGAATCGACCAGCAACCTATTGGTTCACAGGCCTGCACTCAATCCACTGAGCTACAGCAGGCAAGTGGACTTTAATTTTAAATAAGACCACTATGCCCAATGTTTATATGAAACCAACTGCTAAATTTATCATACTATGTTTGAAGTACATTCGAGAAAATATCTGCATGACCAGCAGTTCTAGAAATTTGGGCTCTATTCTTAAGTTTCAATTGATTGAATAGGGGTTGACTCTATCAAACATGTTCACCATATAGAACTAAAAATACAGACAGATGTGAGGAAGTAATGTGTTTCAGTCTTATGTCCTAAACCAATGAACAACATCTGTTTGTGTTTTGTTATATTTTTCTTAATGAATGGATAATCACATATAGTTTTATAATTATAAAAATTGGAATATTTCCTATAGACAAGTTCGAACATTAATTTTCACTTGATAGTATTATGTCTGCATTTCTTACAGGCTAAATATATGTAGTGAGGACCATTTTTAATGTAATATAATACACAAGACTGCATCATATTTGAAGTTAATTATAAAAATATTACAACCTATTGTGAAAAGGTTGCAAACTATTACAACCTATTGTGAAAACTGCTGAAATATTTTTTAGTTTTGTAATAAAATTCAATTTCAACTTTGAAATATGTCTAAAATTTACTTGTTAAAAGAGAACTGCTTTCTGCATTTGGTGTATTTTTTTCACTTAGTTTATCTTACTAACTATTATTTTATCATATTGATATTTCTGCTATATTTGTGTTAATCGACTCATAATTCTCTCTATATATGTTACTGATTGCTCTTTCAGGATAGATTTTAAATGTGAAATTGCTGAATTAAATAATAATCTCAACATTTTTAAAGGCTTTGCTAAATTTTTCTTTGGGTAAATTGTTTTTCAAAAGGCATCAATCTTAGTCATCAAAGTTGGCACATATGATAAAAAATGTTTGAGAGTAACTGTTTACTGTGCATTTGTTATTAGAAAATGTCATTTAAGAGTACTTGCTTCTTTGCTGTAATTCTTAGGAAATAGATCTGTTTTTATTTGAACAGAAGAATTGATATATATATTTAAAGAATAAGGGATACCCATCAGTTTGATGGTTGTTGTATATGTTATCTCTGATGATTTCTTGCATGAAGAATATTTACATTTTCAATTGAAAATATTTTATCTTTCTTATTTGTTCTGTGGCTTTTCTCCAACTTAAATTTAAATAAGCAAGCATGTATATTATGTTATTGTTTTTCATGAGCACATTTTATGAGAATACCTTGAATTATTTGAGATACAATTTTGTTGTATGTTAGAATATTGTATATAACATTTTCCCTCACATTCCAGCTTATTCTCTCCTACTATTTATTAAATAAGCATTTGGTTTTCCACTAATTTTTGTGTTGTTTTTATTGCACACTAAATAAGTTATTTTCTATTTTTTCTTTGACCAATCTATATATGTATTTGAAACCAAAATCTTATGATTAGGGCAGATTAAAATATGTTTTTAATTTTCGTAAAGAAATTTTATCTTAACTTCTTTATAAATTTATTTTTGGAGACCTCAAATCAGATGCTTCTAAATACCCCATCCCTTTAATGCAGAAATTCTGCAATAATGGTTCAGCTCATGAAGTATATGTGTACATATACATAAAAATCGAATATGGCAGTACAAACAATACACATTCACTATAGGTTATTTGAAAAATGTGGGAAAATATTTAGTATTGATATCATTGCTTTACCCAGATCAGATGGGGAGATGCATGAAAGGGAGGCCAGGGAGAGGACTGCTCAAATCTGAAAGATTACAATGCAGTTAGGTGGTTCTTTCAGAAGGGCAGAGAGGTGCTGGTGGCCTATTCATGAAAAAAGTGTATGACCTTGGAATTTTAAGGTTGTTTATTTATTAATACTTTTATACAAACATTTAGTTTTGCACCATACCTGTGTCCATAATGCAACATATTTTGTTCTCAAAAAAATACCTAAATACAGAATCTTATCCCTACCTGAATTTTATTTTTGCCAACAATTATTCCTCAAAAGAACTGAGAGGCCCACACATATCCCTCAACTATGAGTCATTTAAACACAGAAAAAAACTCTGTGTTAATCAGAATTAAAATAAATAAACGAATGTCAGCAATCAAAATTATGAATTAAGGTACTATTTTGTGAATCTATTTTCAAGAGAGTTCAACAAGACTGGCAATTTCTACATTGATGGTGTCGAACTAATAATACATAGATTTTGTGGAAATCAATTTGATTATGCTTTCAGTGTAAATTACAAAAGTGTTTGTACACTTTTACTCAGTTATTCAAATTTTAAGAATATGCTGAGAACATAGAAAGACATTTGGTAGAATATTTTTATTGCAATGCTTGTTTAATAATTGAGGAAAAGGAAGAAAGTGACACATTAAATAGGGGCAGCCCTCACTTGCTGAGGTACCATGTTAGCTGAAGCTTGTGCAGTGGGGAAACGTGTCCTTGTTTTGCATGGGTCTCAGTTACCACAGCCCTGTGCAGAGTGCGGACAGCCTGCAATGAATAACTGGCTGGACTCAGGCAGATGGCAGGTGGAACAGAGGCTGGTTATATGTGACTGGATCCCCTGTAAATGAATGTTGCTTGTGATCAAGAAAACAAAAAAAGTGCATATTTCCAGTATCATCCAAGTGGGCATTGGTGGTATAGTGGTGAGCATAGCTGTCTTCCAGTATCATCCAGATTCTAGGATATAAAATTAAAGGATCTTTATTAACGTTAGAAGTGGAATATGAATGTAGGAAAAAACGGATTTATGCTGGGTGACAACTTCCTTGGGAGCTTCCCAGCTGTAATCTGAAACCAGTTCTCAACATGCTGAGGACAAGAAGAGACCTAAGAAAAAAGCAGACCACTCCAGTTTGGTGGGTGGATGGTTTAATAAACCAGGGAACTCACTTAGAAGGCTTTTATTGGGCAGTGGCAAGAAGAGTAGATTTCTGCATCCACCCCACAAAACTTCTAAGTTTGTATACAGGTCCTACCTGGGTACGGTCACACACACAAGACCTTGACTGGGTTTACCTATGTACCCAGTTCAGATAGTCTCATCACTACATCACTATCTCAAGGCTGTGTCCCTGAGCAGCTTCTAGTGCTAATAAGGTGAGAGGAGTGGACCTCCAAACACAAAGGAGGGAATGGGGAGCCTCCCACTGTCAAGGTCCAGTTCCCATGTTCAAACCAGCAGTCATGTCTTCCTGATGACCTCCCCTAGCTCTGTACTATTCTACTCAATAATATTCTCTAACAGTATTGAGCCAGAATGCCACCCAGGTTTGTCCTAATTCAAGCTTCTGTTATTTTCCTCCTATAAACATTGTGCTTCTGAGTAAGTTGAGATCTCCAGGGGTAAACAACATTAAACTTATTTGCTTCTTAGGAGGGGGAGAGGAGGCAAAGGATTATCAATATCTCTACCTATGATGTTTTAATCTAGAAACAAAATTTTTCTTTCATTCAGAAGTTTTTTCTTCACAGAAATTTCTTCCAAATAAATGTTTTTTTTCTTCTTAACTTTAAACATCAGCATCATAGCAACTAGCATATTGTAAAATTGAGAAAAAGTAAAACAAATTAAAGTTGAGTTTTAAAAAATTATATCTGATGCATAATGTTTTCCGTGCTCAACTTATATCTGTTATTTTCACACATAAAATAAGGTGAATTCTCATAGTATTTTTGAGTGTGTAGGGAAACTTGGATGCTCTTTTACTAGTGGTGATTTCACCCATCCCTGCATCAAAAAAAAAAACACAAAACTTAAATTCTTTCTCAATCCAATAAAGA